TTTCCAGGGCTGGGGGAAGAGCCAGCAGGGCAGACAGGGGCAGGGCATGTGTGGGTAGGGGCTGAGGAGGTGTTGGGGGAATCCCACATGGAGTGTCTGCTAGCAGCATGTGAACCAGGAGTGGTACACTATTGACCCTTCAGGGAAGCAGCACAGGAAAGCACAGAGCCCGCTCAGGCTGATAGCACACCACTCTAGGTCCATGTGCCACTAGCTGGGAAGGTACTCCATGTGGATCTTTCCCCAACACTGCCCCACTCCCTCAGTCCCCAGCCAGCTTCTCCCAGGAGTGCCCACCCAAACAGTGCTGTGTGGAGCAGGAGCAGCATGCTATTGGCCCAAGTGGGCTCCATGCTTCCCTGTGTGGCTTCCCTGAAGGGCTGACAGCATGCACTCCCTGTCCATGCGCCACTGAGCGAGCAGGCACTTCTGCGGGAAGCTGGCTGGGGGATGAGGGAGCAGGAAGGAGTTGGGGAAAGTCCCACATGAAGTGCCCGTGCAGCCGGTAGTGTGAAGACTGGGAGTGGCATGCTATCAGCCCTACAGGGAAGCTGCACAGGGAAGTGCAGAGCCTGCTTGGGCTGATAGCACATTGCTCCAGGTCCACACACCACTGGCTGGGTGGGAACTCCATGTGGCGCACTCCATGTGGGGAGGGAAGCAGGGAGAAAGGGAAGAGCGGAGCCACGCAGAGAAGCTGCTTGCTGCTGTGAGCTCTGCCCTGCTTCCCTCCCCTGGGCCCTCCACACCCCAGTGGGCACGACCCAGTTCAGCAGGGAGCAGCAGAGCTGCACGGATAAGCTGTGAGCTCTGCACTGCCCTGGTGACACACTGCCTGCGTGTGGGGCTGCAGTGAGAGCGGTAGCGTGGGGCTGCACCCCTTAAAGCAATGGCACACACAAGGGGTGTGTTGCCAGGGCAGCGCAGACCTCGCAATGGCGAGCAGCTTCTCCGTGTGGCTCTGCTCTTCCCTGCTGTGACAGGTTGCACCAACTAGGCTGTGGAGGTTCCAAGGGAGGGCAGCAGGGTTGGAGTCCAAGCCCACAGCCCGTGCCTGCCCCAGACACAGATCTGGGGGGTGCAGGTCCCCCTGCCCCCTTCAGGAGTGCATGCAGTGGCAGGGAGTCAGCACTCCTCACCCCCCCCAGCAGGTAGCAGGGGGAGTGGGGAAAGAGGGCTGTGGACCCAGGTCTGTAGCCTTGGCAGCTAGGACCTTCTCTTGTAGGGCTGGGGGAACAGGGGCTGTGGGTGGGGTGTGATGGGCACCAGGAAGACTGTTGGTGGGGGGGGGAGTGAGAGGCACCATCAGGGTCAGGGGGACTGTGGGGAGCCTTTAATTTTAATAAAGGATTTTGGGTTTTTTATGAGAGAATTTGCGATTTTTTTTTTTAATCAGAGAATTTGTGATTTTATATCAAGGAAAACCAGGATCCCTGTTCATGAGTCAGGGAAGAAGAATTTGGTCACATTTTGAATAAAATGACCTCAGTTCCATAGATTTATACCCACTTAAACAGGAAGCGAACAGCACACAATGTGTAAATCAAACACTAGAAAAATGTGTCTAAATACCTGGTAATCCATGGTAATTGAATAAGGATGAAACCACTTTTATTCTAGCAAAGCAAGCAATCATCAAATGTCACCACATACTGATGCTAACTTTGGAAGACCCCAAACTTTGGTTTCTGGTAAGGCCCAATCATATTGTTACGGAAGTTCATGTTACAGTTCTAGCTTTCCAGCTCTTTGTTTTATTTTAGATAAATCTTGACTTTTTAATACATAAAATCTGTGAATTATTGTAGGATGTGCTCAGCCAATTTTGGCTAATACATCTTTATAGTCAGGCAATTAAGAACTGTAACTTTCCCATGTCAGTCTTATCACACACCACTTCTAATATTGCCAGAAACGTTTCACTCTCTACTTGCCATGGTTATTAAAAATATATATTTTTAAATTTATGGTTTCAAAGAACTATTAAAAGCAAACTACAGGCTGACACTAGCAAGGCCTTACTTTTAATTATATTCCTCTGTAACAAAACCAAAAGCAACTGTGTCACTTCAATAATTTCATAGATTTCATAGACATTAGGGCTGGAAGGGACCTCGTAAGATCATCAGGTCCAGCCCCCTGCCCCAAGGGCAGAAAGTCAGCTGCGGTCAAAGGATCCCAGCAAGATAAGCATCCACATGTTTCTTAAAAGTGTCCAGAGCAGGTGCTTGCACCAGCTCTGAGGAGAGTCTGTTCCAGGCCTTGGGGGCTCAGACAGTAAAGAAGTTTTTCTTTATGTCCAGCCTAAAACGGTCTTGCAGGAGTTTGTGACCACTGGACCTTACCATCCCCTGGGGTGCTCTGGTGAACAGACGTTCCCCCAGATCCTGATGCACAACCCTGATATACTTATAGGGTGCCACCAAGTCACCCCGAGCCTGCACTTTTCCAGGCTGAAGAGTCCCATAGCTCACAGTTTCTCTTCATAAGGCCTGTTCTCTTGCCCTCAGATCATGTGCATGGCTCTCCTCTGGCCTCTTTCAAGCTTCTCCAAGTCCTTCCTAAATTATGGAGCCCAGAATTGGATGCAGTACTCCAGCTGCAGCCTCAACAAAGCCAAGTACAGCAGGAAGAGGACATCCTGGGTCTTGCTTAATATGCATTGGTAGATGCAAGCCAGGGTTTTGTTCACTTTGCCAGTTGCAGTATTGCACTGGTGGCTCAAGTTCATCTTGTGGTCAGTCATGACCCTCAAGTCTCTCTTGGTCATGGTACTAGTGACTGTAGCATTACCGAGCCTATAAGTGAGATGTCATGTTTTTTTCCACTTGAGGTGGAGCACCTTGCATTTCTGTACTGAATGCCATCAGGTTTTCATCTGCCTACCTTGCAAGCCTATCAAAGTTAGCCTGGATCGCCTATTCTCAAGTGTGAAAACTCTGCCCCAAAGTTTGGTGTTGTCAGTGAACTTAGCCAGTCCGCTTCTGACACCAGTGTCCAGATTGTTTATGAACACTTTAAAGAGTACAGGTCTGAGAACAGAGCCTTGAGGGACACCACTAGTCACTGAATGTCATGTGGATTCAGTTCCATCAACTAGCACTCTCTGGGTCCAACCTCAGAGCTAGTTTCCCAGCCATTGGACTGTAGAGTAGTAGAGGCCATAGTTGCCTAATCCATGTGGCCTAGTAGACACAGCATTGGATTTTAACTTTGGAGATCTGAGTTCTATTCCCAATTCTGATATTGGTCTGGTAATCGACTTTGGGGGAAATGACTTCTCCTTGCTATGTTTCAATTTCCCTGTAAAATGGAGACAATGATACTTTCCTTCCTTTGAGCCCTTTGATATCTATGGGTGAAAATAACAATCATGGAAGAAAATCACCCTCAGCTGCAAGGAATTGCTTATGATGATAAAAACTAGGTAGTGTTTTTATTACTTGTTGCCTCTCAGAGATTATTTATTCAAAATAGCAGCTTCTGTGTATATACCTGACTGGCCAATAACTCCAGTGCTCTTACAAACTCAAAGGGCTTGATTCTCAGTCTTGAGCAAAAGTTAGTACTTTGCTAATTGCTGTTTGTTCTAAGGTATGGAACTGTATTGTGGTCTGCTGAAGAAACGTGATAAATTTTGCTATTCCTATGAACTAGAATATCTTCAAAAATATCCTGTAGTACAGGGTCTCGACTTCAGAAACCCAGCTATAAATATCAACCTTATGGGTATCAATATATCACAGCAATACATACTTATTTCAAAATTGTGTATCACCAGTATCAAGCCCCAGGCCTTTCATATAAGATATCTCACCATTTTGGAAATTATTTTGTCATCTCAGTACTTGAGATTTGTCACAGTCTCTGCCAAGGAGGGCAAAAATATTTTAGATATGCCAAAATCAAACAATCAGAGATACTTCACATTATAGAAAAACACCATTTTTCAAAATAAAAGAAACCAAACAAAAGCTAATCTACATGTGATCATTCTAACAAACACTTATTTTGTGGTCTACCAACCTACGGTGATGTGTCCTTTAAAACCACTAAAAGTCTAACCTCAGAATCCTGGCACAAGGGCAGCACACTGTACAACACACTTTTTTAAACAGTATGAATCATATTGCTGGAGCTCCACAACTAGATGTAAAATAACACTGGACTTGTTCCTTTGTGTGACTTGCTTCCCTCAACACACGTGGAAGCCTTTACAATGACCTTGTAAATTTCTGAATTTTTAAGAGGAAATCAGCATAAAAGTTCCAAGCTCCTCCCTTCCCAAGCTGTCCACACTGAGTGGCTGCCATCAGGGTGCTACTACTATCTGCCCCCCTTTATCAAATTATAGTGCCTGAGTTACAACAGTTATTTTATGTGGGGTAAAGGTTGACATAGTGACCACTGACTTTCACATTAGGACTACAAGTTACTTAGCTTGTTTGGGAACATCTCTAAAAATGTCTTCAAAGAGTGGTTCTAAAGAATTCAAGCTTTGGCTTCCCTTCCTCCCCTCTTCTCCTCAACAAGAGTAGCCACAGACAGGTTTAGGGGATTCCTGTCTCTCTTATCCAGACAAGCCTACATATCCCAACTCTCAGAGAATCGCTTTATACCTTTCACTGCAACCAGAGCACAGTTCTTTTGGAAAGTCAGGAAGAAATATCTAAAAAACTTAAACATGATACAATACTTTTAAAAATTATTCTCTTTTGTTGTGAAAAAGTCCTACATTGTTCAATATTTAACATTCTTCAATGCAAATGCCAGCTTATTATTTCATCTCTACAGCAGAAGTTTCCCTCTACCTTAGTAAGGAAAAGGATATGAAAACTCTTTTGATTTATAATGGTTTCTATAATGGTATTTAGATGAGTATTTAGCTACTAAAGCAACAGATGCTAAATGTACAGGTCATGAGATGCAGAAAGACAAATTTACACTTTATTCCAAGGTCAGGACTAATTTTGGTATTCGCTTTGCATCTATCATCTTACCTTCCATAACAGCACAGCCAACAACAAGAAGATGAGAATTCCCACCAGCAAACTGATGGCAATTATCCATCCAACTACATACCCACGAGGCTCCAGATTATGCAAGGCCTCAAAGACCACCTACAAAGCAATTAGAAAAAGATTATTTTATTATTGGAAGCAGTATGGCTTTCTATTGTACTTATCTTATGAACTTCACAGAATTTTGGCTTGCTAATCATATTTGGTTTTTTTAATGGCAAATAAACGTGGAACGCAGCCTTCACTTCCTATGTTCTGCCTATTTTTCACAAGCGATTTAAGACTTCTTTTAAAATGGGATTTGAGTATTACTAAATATCACCCAACAAATATCTGCTCCCACTCCAAATTCTTCACATCTCACTTCTTTACCTGTCTTCAACAATGCATAGAGGCTTTCATGAAAAACTTTATCCTTCTGTGCATTCAAAATCCCATGACCTCCAAGACTGTTTTGTATTTTTTATCTTACTCATCAAATCTTCAAGGCTTCCAAAATTGTAGATGCTTTGCATGAAAAACTGTATATGCTGACATCATAACCATTTTCAATGAAGATGGGACAATGTTCCTAGCCATGTTCACTGTCTACTTTACAAGAAATTCAGAATGAATGAGGCATGGGCTCCAATCAGACTTTCTCCCTCTTGATTCAATCCTTACATAGGTTAATAGGTGCATTGTGAGTGAAGAAAGGACTCACTATGAGGATAGTGAGGATTCCTGACCTCATTCACAGTGTACCTCTCCTTATGTATATGGTAACCATACCTAAATCAGGGATGTCAAACATAGCCCACAGAGCCACATCATCTGTCCCAGCCCAACTTTTCTCCAACCCAGACTGGGATGAGAAATTTTCCATGGTGGCAGAAGTAGTGCTACAGCCCCAGCAACACTGCAGAAACAAGCCTGGCACCGTGGTTTCTTTTGACAGTAGTAGCCAAGTCCTGTGATACTATGGTGCTGCAGGGGCTTCAGTGCTACTGCTAGGGCTGTGCAAATTTCATCAGGCATTTCATTAACTTTCAGATTCGGATGTTTTGATGATGGAAACACCAAATCTGAAATAAATGCAAGGCTCTGAAACAGCTCCAAAACAAACTGGACCATCCAAAATGTTTCAGAAATTTTCCGAAACTATTTGGAAGTTTCCTAAATGTTTCGGCTGTTTCAGAGGCAGACTTGCAGGGAAAGAGAATCTAAGGGGGAGGTGGGGGGAGGACTGCTCTGATACTGACATCTCTAGCTGGCCAGTGACAATGATCTGTCCCTGAGGTCCCTTCCAATCCCAGTGCTCTGGGGGAGTGTCACAAGGTCACGTAGGTGCCTTGTGCCTCGAAAAGGGTTAAGAACAGCTGCCGATCACAAGGGCAGCTCAGCTGCCGGTTGCTGGGGCAACCATGTTGGTCAGGTGACCAGAAGGGGGCAGGGCCGGGCCCTTATAAACAGCCCAGGCCGGAGCCTGGCAGGGAGTTCCCTTCTGGCAGCCTGAGGTGCAGGAGCTCTGTAGCAGACCTGAGCAGAGAGGAGCCGAGCAGAGCCGAGTAGAGTGGAACAGCCTGACTGCCTGCATGATGATGCGGGGTAGAGAGAACCCTGGTAGGGAGGTACTGGAAGAGGGCCAGGGTGGTGGCGGATGTATGTTGTAGCCACAAGGCTCATTCGGGTTACAGCCGGGTTGGTGTGGAGTTGTGTCAGAGCCAGGAGGTTTAGTTTATGTTATAGCCAGTTGGCTCATGGTTGTGTTTGTTTACGTTATACCAGAGGACCGGGTAAGGCTGTAGGGGTGCAAGGAGGCCTCACAGGAGCTCCCCAGCAGTTGGGGGGTTCCTAGTGCCCTGTGCGGGCGCAGCAGTCGTGCCAGGCACGACACAGTTGTAAGGCGCCAAGGCGGCGCAGCAGATGGGGGGATTGACCCCATCCCTGGATGGGTGATAGGTGTGAGACCCAAGCAGGGGAGAGGACCCTGGCAAAGGGACAGGGGGCCAGGCACGGCTTAGGCCACCTGAGCCCCAGTGACGGCGCACCAGTAAGAAGCCTGAGGGCGGCTCGCGTCTGGCCACGAGAGAGAGGGGCCACACAAGCAGAAGCCCCGGGTGGGTGTTGCTAGGGAGACGAGCCCGGCGAGGGTGAGTCAGTGATTAGAAAGAGCCCGGCAAAAGCGGAGGAAAGCCACAGGAGCGGGTGTGTATGTGAGAGAAGCCCAAGGGAGGGCGCACATGAAGGAAGCCCCAAGAGGGGACACATCTGATTGATAGAAACCCCAGCTGGGGTGCAGACTGGGCAGAGTCCCAGAGGGCTCTACAGGGGTGGGACCCCGAAGGGTCACAGGAGCCAGGTAAGGCTCAGGCCACCTAAGCCCTACTGGAAAGAATATTGTTCGGGAGTCCAAGAGGGCTACTGACTAAAGGGGCACCGGTTGCGTGACAAGCCCAGAGGTGCTAGAAAAGGGGCGCCAGTTGCGTGACAAGCCCAGAGGTGCTAGAAAAGGGGTGCTGGTTGCGTGACAAGCCCAGGGGCGCTAGAGAGAGGCGCCGGTTGCGTGACAAGCCCAAGGGCACCGGGCAGGGCACAGAAAGGAAAAGGGACCAGATAACGTCTGGAAGAGCTGCAAGGCTTGGGGCATGCTAAAGGGGAGGTAGGAGGCA